ATACTCACCGCACCAATCGTAAGTTAAACTTCACCCGTGCTTTCTCCCTTGATCTGACTGCTAGACACCGTGCAGAATCCTTCGCCCAGAAGCTTCGCACCCTCTTCTGGATAGCCGTCTCCAACTTTGTCTTCCCAGTCATCATGGCTGTGGTGCAACTCGCCATCTACATGGCGACTCCGAACTATCTCCTCGCGCTATACGTATCACAGGCAAACCTGTACTTCACCGTCATTTGCGTCGTTTTCGCGACTCTCTGGACGACGGGACGACACTGGACCGATGCAAATATTCCTAGCGCCAATCAGCCAGAGATGTCCGGGGTGACATCATTCGTCGCAGCCCGCACGGACGCCTCACGGGGCGAGGTTCACGGAGTGGCAATGCAAGTGTCGGTGTACGACAATGCGGAGTCCGGTAGTGTTTCCGAGCGTGAATCGACGCGGGATGTAGACTGGCGGAGGTCGTACCAAGTACAGGCCAAAGTTCACGATCAGAAAGAGGTGTAGCGGCACATCTGGGGAGGAAGTAGTTCCATTGTGCGCTCTGACACCGCCTATCTACGATGCATATTAACGTGCCCTGATGCCCCCCGGTGAGAACCACTTCTCATTTTTAGGCCCTTATGGATTGATAAGATCGATACAATAACACGCCGACGTATGTTTCGTACGACAGATATAGTCTACTATAGCTATACCTCCGATACGAGTTGTGAGTTGAAGGGGCTCGGCTTCATATGAAAGATTTACTGGTAGCCCTAATGTTAGCATAATAAGGATCTTGACAGAAGGTCTCGTAGCTTTCTTGCTTTGGGTGTGCAGTGAAAGAGAATACAAACGAGGAATGTCAATAGATCGAGCAATGACCGCGGCTATGAGGCGGTCGCGCGCCTAATTTGGTTCAAGTTGTAGGCTCGTCTCCCTCACTACCACCACGGTCCTCTCGAGCATCCTCTGACCATCGGCTTTTTTGATTGTGTATGCTTTTCTATAAATCGAAGCGCGGCTCATCACAGAACACAGGAAGACTTCTCTCGCATTTTCGGCGCTCTCCGCTACGGTTCTACAGTTCGGGCCCACACTGTATGCCCGACATCAACTGAGATGGACATGTGCCTTGCGTGCTGGCGCGTACGCTACCGGCGTTCTGCCGTCGACTCTCGCGATGCGTGTGACTGTAGGTCCGATGATTACAGCATGGTATGTGTCGGCCATAACTAGTGACTCGGCGTCAGACGCCCCCGACGCTCCTTTCCCCCAATCCACATCCTTGTCCCTGCTACCGCATCTCCAGTCTATTGCGCCCTCTGCGTGCTACTCGTTTTCGAATAAGTCACTTTCAGATGCGTTCCTGTGCGTTCACTTTCTCAGATTCTGTGCGCCTTTCGCTGACGAATGGATTGCGGCGATGGATCACGATCGTCTAGATAACGGGGACCCGCTGGAGAGGTTCTCAACGACCCCACGAGGAGAAGCTACTGCCCCAAACCGGGTTGGCACGCCGTCACGTAGGATATGCCCCCATTCTGCCACTGTGCATAATCTCTGACACACGGTGCCCAGATGACAAGTATCTATGGGCGAGATTTGGGCTGTCGAGTCGAGACTTCGTCACAGTCAACCCAAGCGGTCTCGCCGAGTCCGATTCAGAGAACTCTGACAGTGACGATGAGGATTACCGGGTACAGCCCGAAAGGGAGAGGAATGTTCGAGGGCCTTCGCGGAAGAAGAAAAAGAAGGCACAAGGGCGCACGTTCGGCGTTCGCCACAATGCGAAGAATACTTGTACGTTGCTTTCAACAGTATAGTAATCATGGACATCACTAAGGTTATTCTGTTGGCAGACTATGTCAATCCTGATGACTATGAGCAGAAGTACCCTGTGGACGGCCTTTGGAAAGGTCTGGACCACAATGCTCGGATCTGGAAAGTGTATCTTGATGAAGCTAAAATGTTGGATGATGACATGGTGGGTGCTTGGAGGGACACAGTTGAAGTGCTACTTGTATTTGTATGTTTCATCTTTTAATCTCCTGTTCATCACTGATGTGCTTATTCCTGTTGCAGGCTGGTCTCTTTTCTGCTGTGGTCTCTACTTTTGTGGTGCAAACTTCCCAGACTCTTCAACCTGACTACTCTCAGATCTCTTCTATCTTGCTCACTGAACTGGTTGGTCTTCAGAGAACCATTGCTAATGGTGACTCTGTGAACACTGTTCCTATGGCTTCTCAGAATGCAACCTCTGGCTTTGGGGCTTCTATTTCTGATCAATGGGTTAATAGGCTTTGGTTCATCAGTTTGACTTTCAGTCTGGCTACTGCTCTGATGGCTGTGTTGGTGAAACAATGGCTGCAACATTATGTGTCTTCTATATCTGGGACAAGCCAGGAAAAAGCTCATGTCCGTCATTTCCGTTATAATGGCCTTAATACTTGGCATGTCTCTGGCATAGTGGGGAGCCTTCCCATTTTCATGCATATTGCTCTATTACTGTTTCTCATTGGGCTGGTAGTCTTCTTAGCAAAGCTAGACAAAGTGACTGCAGGAATAACTGGATTCCTAACATCAGCTTTATATGTGATTTATATTGGCACAAATGTGTTGCCTGTCTTCTTTGTGGATTGCTCCTATAAGACACCTGTATCAGACTTGGTTGCTCAGCTAGTTCATTTGATGATATACTTATACTACTATCTAAGAGGACACATTGGCAATACAGTGATGACTCTCATGCCATGTAATGGCTCAAAGACTTTTGACATTCCAAAGGGATATGCTGCTTTCAAGTCTCAGAGAGAGGTTGAAAGCATGATAGTAAAAGAGCATACAGAGATTTTGAATACTGAATCTTTAGCATGGCTGTATAAATTCTCAAGCAATCCAACAGTATCACAGATTGTCCTTCAGGCCCTCTCCTCAGTTGATGTTTTCAACCAAACCTTGGATTCATTTGATATGAGAAATGTTATTAATTATGCACTGATAAAGGATTACTGCATTGCTTATCAGCACATCTCTGATCAACAAAAAGCCAGCTGTTATCTTGGAACTATGATATTTCTTGTTACCATGTTGCAAGATAATATGACAGCATTGTACATGGCACTTTACCTTGCAAAATCCAAGAACAGATTTGTTCATCATTCTGAATCTGAATTTCTGCACAACATCTTTGTTGATAGTGTAAGAAGTATTGACATCAATGATGAGATAAAGATAGTACAGAACTTAGAGAAGAAGCTAGGAAAGGGCACAGTGGTATATTTCAAGACACTATCAATTGTGCTCATGATATTTAGTGCAAAGAGGGCCTGGGATGCAAACCTCACTGATTTATTGCAAGTCTATGTTAAGAGTACACAGGCTGTACTAGACATTGATACTCTGGCAATCTTTGCTAAATACAGGAATACAGCAAAGATAACCAATGACATCATTTTGAATATTGATAATAGGAAATCTGCTGTGATAGGATTATTAGAGTATTATTCAAACAGTACTGACTGGATAGCCACATTCAATAAGAGAGATCAAGAGATTTTGATATGTATTTGTGAATGGTGTTTGAATGACTTACAGGCTTGTCACCCAGTATTACTGTTTATAGCAAGGCAGCTTTCTTTGCAATCATTGCATCTCTCAGGGCTCACACTTGGCAAAGTATTTGCATTGCTCAATTTGACATGTGAGATGTATGCTGATACTGTCTTTATGTCTGTCTCATCACACAAGGATGCTGTTAATTGGGACAGACTAATTGAGGGTTGGGCCTTTTATCTGAAGCACAGAAGTGATAGTAACTGGGAAGAGATGATTGAATATAGTTGTAATACAATGAGTATTCTGATCAGAGATTCCAACTCTGGGCCAAACTTTATGCAATTATTTGATAAATACAAAGTGTTCAGTGCTCTTGATAAACTCTGTCAAAGGCAAAGAGATAAAGACATTCACTCATACTACCATACCTTCAAGTCAGGGATAGCACCAATTTATGGAAGGATTTTGGAGAGTCATGATGTCCGTTCTGGAGTAGCCAAGTTATTGTGTACAAAAGAATACATCAGCATGTACTTGAATTCTGCCAGAGATGTTATTACTATAGCTGTACATTGGAACAAAGTTCCTGTATCACTTGCCAATCCATGGTTAGACCTCTTCAGAATCCTCAATGTCTCACACAAAGTGGATCAAATAGACAAGGATATGTGCAGGAAATTCTTCTTCAATGCTCTGCAAGACATTTTGTTCAGTTTAAAAAAGGAGAAAACACCACGACAAAGTGCCTACATATATTATAGCTGCAGATTCATTGCAGAACTAATAACAATGATCCAAATTCAATCAGAAGATCTTCATAAACAAGTTGAGATCATGAAAGAGATCACATCTGAAGATCTTACAAATATCTCCAAGTAAGTAATCTTGATATATATCACAATCTAATCTGACATATTTTAGGGTGGCTAATCTGAACCTTGAGAAAGAATGCTATGATTGTGACCAATTGCTGAGAACAATCAAACTTGATCCCTCAATTTCAACTGTAAGTACCAAATATATCCTTTCAACAATTACTAATCAGTGCACTTTATAGATGAAGGCCCCATTGCCAGATGAGCTACCTCCTCAGAAAAAAACTAGAAAATGGAATAATAGCTGGATGGTGATAGGTCAGAAGTCAAAAGATGCTAGTGAAAAGGTGTGAGGCAGTCAGATGAATACAATTATACAAATTCTTGAAGCTTGTAAGATATATATTTCAAATTTGATGAAAATACAATTCAGCAGTTATGAATGTGTGACAAAATTACAGTAAATGAGAACACAAAGTCAAGGAGTGTCTAACAGGACTTTGAAAAAATGTGCTCAAGATGATAGCATATACTATCCATAGTTTTGTTCTCATTGTTGGATGAATGGCTCCTCAAACCATCACTTCAAAATATATTTGGTCAATGAGTGAGATATATTCACATCTGGAAAATGAAAATATTATTCCACTGCGGGGAATCGAACCCCGAGCTACCGCGATCTCGTAATTGAAAGGCGGTAATGTTAGCCGTTACACCACAATGGAGATGTCAATTAGTTTCTCTATAATGCCATGAAGAGTCAGAGGAGACCTACAGATCTCAAAAGCCAAGGGTTGTAGTAGCAGTCTGAGATTGATGAGGATTTGTTCTTGCATTTACTGTAGAGCCCTCCTCGAAAAGACATCAGACGTATGTTGCTGTTCAATGGAGTTAGTTCGGATAGAAGACAGTCAGGTGCCACCTATCGGCCCGGCAAGAATGACAAACTCTCCCCATCCCACAGATAAATGAGGGCATGGGATGCTCTGCAGATAGTTTCGCACCATGTCCTTCCTCAAGGTATCGGGAAGAAAGCTGGTCGACGAGCGGGGAGAGGAAGTCGTGCTACGCGGAGCAGGGTTGGGCGGATGGATGACGTGAGTCGTTATTCCATCTTCAGCGTTGCTTGAAGCCGTTCGACAAATGAGTTCGCAGGATGGAGAACTTCATCACTGGTAGGCTGCATTTCGTGAAGGCCATTTCAGTACAGGATGCGTAACAGATCACAGGATTCCCTGGATGCGAATATCAGATACGGGAAGCGCTCGCCGAAGTGCTAGGCGAAGAGAAAGCAGAGTTCTTTTTCGACCAGGTGAGCGTTCCTCAAAGCATATTTGCCCACGTACCCATTGATCCCTGCGTCCATAGTTCCTCGAACACTTCTTCACCGACGCTGACGCCACTTTCTTCCACTCACTGTCCCTGAACTGCATTCGCATCGCCATCAACTACAGGCACTTCGAGTCTCCGCTCGAGCCTCGTGTCCTGCGACCAAATGCATTCACGCACTTGGACCGCGCCATCCGGATCTGCGCGACGCACGGCATCTACACCATCATTGACCTGCATACCGCGCCGGGAGGGCAGAATGGTGGATGGCATGCCGATGCGGGGACACATATCGCGAACTTCTGGCGGCACAAGCACTTCATGGACAGCGGGGTCTGGCTATGGGAACACCTCGCGAAGCGGTACAAGGACGAGCCCTGGGTCGCTGGATACAACCTGCTTAACGAGCCTGCCGACCCACACCCGAAGACGGGCCTCATTCCGTTCTATGATCGTGTCATTGCCGCTATCCGCGCCATAGATGAGCGTCATATCATTTTCCTCGACGGGAACACCTATGCGACAGATTTCTCCGCTTTTCCGGATGACGTGAAGACCCGCTGGGGACAGAATGTGGCATATTCGATCCACGATTACTCGGTGTTTGGGTTTCCGAAGGGCGGAGTGTACACTGGGAGCGAAGAACAGCGGGAGAAGATGCTTCGAGGGTACACTAGGAAGAGACAATGGATGGATGAACGAGGGCTTTGTGTCTGGAACGGGGAGTGGGGACCAGTGTACGCGAGGAAGGAGTACGAGGGCGGCGGCGATGAGGAGAAAACAGAGGAGATCAACAAGAGAAGGTATCGGGTATTGAAAGATCAGCTCGAGCTATACCAGAATGTGGGTCTCATCAGTCGCAGAACAGCCGTGCAATTCCTTACATGCCTGCAGGATCGTCTTAGCTGGTCCATTTGGTTGTACAAAGACATTGGCTTCCAAGGCATGGTACATGTCTCTCCCGATACACCATACATGCAGCGTCTACGGCCCTTCCTTCACAAGAAGCATCGACTTGCTGTTGACTCGTGGGGAAACGACGACACGAATGTACGAGATGTCTTCCAGCCGATCGTCGACTTGATCAAAGGAGCCGTGCCGAATGAAGAGGATCGCCGACTATACCCCTGGCCAGGGTGGAGCATGGAAGAGCGCGTAAACAGGCTGGCGAGGGCGACTCTCATCGCGGAATTTTTGGTAAGAGAGTGGGCGGAGTACTTTCGAGGCATGGGAGAGAACGAGCTAGAGGACATGGCTAGGAGCTTCAGATTTAAAAATTGCCTGAAGAGGGAGGGCTTGAACCAGGTTCTGAGGGAGCACGCGAAGGTGACGGGGGCGAAGTAGCGCTGCGTTGTGTATGAGCATGCGCGCGTCGGAATCAATATTTGAAACACGATTGCGACCCCACAGGTTTACCTAGTGCATCTTCCCTTTGGTCGGAGGCGTAGGTATTGAGCGGCCGCTGTCGTCCCGACCAAGCAAAGGGTTGAGCAAACCTTCCCGGTGGAGATGACTGATGTATTCCCGAATGAAGGGGTCAAAATCATGTGTTCTCTTGATCATATCGCTCTACGGAAATATAGAGTAAAGACAAAGTCACGAAAGTCATTTCAGATTGCTTACATTTTCGGTTGCGGCTTTGGAGATCTCATCTTCGACTGAAATCTTCGCTTGCATGATGTTGTGCATGCATTCCTGCCATGCAGGAAGTAAAGCTTCTTGAGGCAGATCGAGAACCGCTCGTTGTTTCTGCATCTTATCGTGTCCGAAGCTGGATGAATACGTTGGGCCTGGTTCTTCCGATTGGACCGTAGTAGCACATATGCCGTCCGAATTTGCCAGCAAGGGGTCAACCTGAACGTGTCAAGCAATGAGTCTAACCATTGCCTAGGCGACAATGTTGATTTGACATACCTTCTGTTTCCAACCTTCTGGGAATGCTTCATTCAAGCGTCGTTCTATAGACGCTTTTTCTCTCTTCAAGAGCTCAAATTGATCACTAGCCTTCTGGTACTGATCATCCACAAGAGCGAGGAGACTGAACCTGATATCGCCCTGTCCATCCGCGTTGGCCCCATATTTCTCCATTTTCATCCGCAGCGCTGGACGCACGACATCCATCCAACTTTGATTAGACGATGGGTCGTCGTCTGGCAGCTCTCCGACCTCTAAGGGACCAGACTTCAGACCATCTAGCTCCCAGACCTTGCCGTGTGCTGGGACATATCCGATGAAGTGGTACGCCTCGTTTAAGTCGTCCGTATTCAATGCAGTCTTAGCCTTCCGTGCTCGTGAACCCGCTGCTGTTGCTTTGCGTCGCTTGGCTGGCGGAGGTTTGCTAGAAGTTTTTAGCGAGGTGGTTGCCAGGGCATTCAGTGCACCCCGGATATCAGAAGGCCTTTGAATCTGTTAGGGATTCCATTCATTCTTTTGACTGCGACGTACCGGGCCAGCGAGTTGTGAGCATCACGAATGAATGGTGAGTTCGAGATTGCAAGGCCTTTCATCTGCCGGATACGTGGTCGTGAGAGCCAGATTCATGCAATAACAACCGGCTTACCACAGACGACATCAACTCCGTCTCCCCTCTGAACTCCTGCAGCTCTCCTCCAATGTCACATCCTGGGCAATTGAGTAGCACGTTCAATATAGCGAAAGAGGCGCACGAGTCATGGCTTAACTGGTTCGCAAACCAGACATGCTCAGCCGCTGGATCTTCGAAGTCCGTTGCGTGATGATTATCGTTAGCCCAGAGGAAACAAAAGATCAGGCCGTGCGGATTGAGGTGCTCCACAGCCCATGGCTCGATGTCGTATAATTCGACAACCTCAAGACCGCTGATACCCAACTTTCGCACGAAAGTCGTGAAAACACCTGCCATACGAGCAATTGTATCAGTGAACAGAGCACTAACAGGTAAGTTCAGAACTGACCAGGGTCGGACTCTATGACAGCAAAAGGACCACCAACGAGATCCAGTTGTTCTGGCTTTGCCACTGCTTCAAGCTCGTCTGTGACCATCATATCGTCCGACATGCCTTGCGCTGGTATCAAGAATGGTTCGCGCATAACGAGTCTCAACTATGCGCTGACCTGCTGTTCGAGTCGGAAAGACGCTGAGCGAGGACGTCAAGGCGTGTGTTCAAGTAAGCGCCAAGTTCAGGCTGTTTACTCCGAACGTGTTTCTTGACTCGCGGCATCCTTCATCATACCATCTCGTACGCGATGTAGCACTGTCCATTTCCCTTTCTGCAACACCTTCAGCGAACCCCCGCCGGAATCATTAACCTGAATTTCACATAGTGCAGGCAGATGGCTTCCAACGAAGTTATCCTACTCGACGGAAGTGTACTCGAAGGCGGTGGTCAATTGCTCCGTGTAGCAATCGCCCTCTCGGTGCTTCTCTCGAAGCCAATAGCCATCGATAACATCCGCGGGAATCGCAAACCTCCCGGCCTGAAGCACCAGCATGCAGCAGGTCGGTGCCCGTATTATTCCAGTGCCGGTCTTTCATTTGATTTACCATGGCTACGGTGTAGGTTTGCGACTCGCGGCCGAGATCTGTACAGCACAGCTGGATGGATGCGAAATAGGCTCTACTTCCGTCGCATTTCGTCCATCCGTCAAGCCCCAGCTATCTAAATGCTACAAGGCCGACCCCGGAACGGCCGGTTCCATCGCGCTTCTGCTGCAAATTTCCCTGCCATGCCTCGTCTTCTCGTCCACACCCGTCGCACCCACGAAAATAATCCTCCGTGGAGGCACGAACGCTATTCAAGCCCCTCAGATCGACTATGTACAACATGTTTTCTTGCCTTTCATCCACAAACACTTCGGCTTTGAACCGATGATCAAGATTGTGAGGCGTGGGTACTTTCCGAAGGGAGGTGGCGAGGTGGATGTCGATGTGCCTGCTGTCCACAGTCAACTTCCCGCAGTGATTCTTGTCGAGCGAGGCAAGGTGGATTCTATACATGGAAGATCGTACGTCGCGGGTCTACCCAAGAGTGTCGCCGAGGCAATGCGCACCGCAGCCACGGACGCACTCGTGAAGTCTGGTGTTGATGCGGAGATCATCGATGTCGAGGCCATCCGCGAGAAGCCGTCTGACTGTGTTGGTAGCGGGTCGGGCATCGTGCTATGGGCCAAAACAGAAAACGGCTGCATCATCGCCGGAAGCGCGCTTGGCCGCAAAGGCGTAGATCCTGGACGTGTAGGACAGGATGCCGCCGAGGAACTTACCTCTAACTTCGGCCATGGAGGCTGTGTAGACGAGTACATGCAGGTAAAAGCCACCCTCGATTGTTTGATTTCATTTCAGTTGCTCATTTTTCACCAGGACCAAATGATCATCTTTCTTGCTCTGGCACAGGGAAAGTCGAGAGTCAAGACTGGG